TCTACTGCCTAAGAAAACTCAAGAAAAACAAGAATAAAGCAAGACCAGCAAGAAGGAGACGCCTGGATCAAGGATCTATCACTAACCGGAGGAAAATGGATCGCGATGAGGACAAGGATTTCCGGCAATCAAGCAAAGACGTTGTCAGTGAGTGATGTCCGTTTCGAATAAACCAGCACAACTTTGGGGGCCTGGCAGTCAGGAAGCTGGGCAGAGGGATAAGCAAACCGTAACAGAAATTCGGTGTTATGGCCAAAATTTACTAGAAATCCACTTGAGATGCCGCATGCAACCAGAGATAGACGTCCACAGTTTGCGCTGATAACATGGGTTTAATCAAGAAGAGGACCCATGAAGACAATGCCTGATATCTGCAAGCATGTGAATCAGAGCTTAGGCGCCCTGCTCAGTGAAGGGGCCGTGTGCATGCTTCTAGGGCCTTGATAAATAGCGCCTGGAGTGAAATGCACACAGGGACTGGATCTTCTCATCAAGCATTTGTTTCATGTACCACGTCTATTAACAAACTTATCTACTAATGGCTAACTAGAAATTGTCACCAATTATATGAATCAACTTGATGGATAATTTATATTCACAATAGAGGTTGCTGAGTGTAACCGACTACCCATACTGAATATTGAGGTCATTCGCTCGAATGGAATACTCAAGAAGATTCTATTCAAAAAGAAATCACATACCGTAATAACCCTCTATTTCCAGCCCCATCATAACTACAGACTTAAGTTCTGAATAATAAGGATTATAATCATCATAATCTTAGGACTATCGGACACTGTGTTTTGGAACGAGCAGTTGTAGAATCTGGCTTGGATTTGCCTTAGTAAGGGGTTTCCCAGAGAATTTCCTGAACGAAATACAGCGGTCATAAAAGACAAATCTCAACTTGGATTTTACCAAAATACGATCAGAAATCGCAAGGACGACAAAAAGTGGATATGTCTGCCCTCTTGTGAACTGAGGCAAAATTTGCGATCGTTCCCAAGAAAATGGAATATCAGAGTGATAACAAAAGAAAAGACCACACTTCACAAGTCAGCCGATACAACACGAGAAGGTTGACAAACTTGATTGCTTGGAAGTGTATATCATCAAATGCGGCATCTGTGAGCTGATGCATATTGGTGAAGCAGGATGAAAAATCGACCTACGTATCAAGGAACACCTAAGATTGTATAGAAACATGGATACTGAAAGTTCTAAAATAGTGTAACACATCGCACCGACGGGAAATGAAATCGAGTGGAAATCGACAGAAAGGCTAGCTGAATATGGTGGAAATACGAGAAAACGTGGGATACGAGAAGCCATTGACATACTGACTGAGAGAAACCTTATGAACAGGAAGCTTGAAGAAGACGGGATTAGCGAAAACTTTGCATACTGTCTAAACAACAATACTCGCAAAAAAGAAGACGATTGGACCAAGATAAAATTATTAATTTTAGGAAAATAAATTACCAGGAGAGCAGAGAGGAACAATCGGAAACCAAGAGAAGACGTCTAAAATAAGCCTATTCAAATCAGGTAGAACCATCACATTTGAAGGGTTGTCACGCAAGAGAAAGTTATAGACTTGGCATTATGGATGGAAGAGTCAGCTGAACTATTGCTAGTTATCTATTGGTAGATAAATTTGCTCATAGACGTGCTCCATGAAGTAAAGGCTTGACCACGAGATTCACTCGGTGCCCATGCCGCACAGCAATGAGGGAATCTGCAGCGTCAAGTTAGGTTGCCATGCCAATTGAGGATCTAGGCTTCAGAGGCTTGCTCAGTGAAGATGCTGTATATGCGTTATCAAAGGCTTGAGGCAGAGTGTAGAGCATAACGCCTTGAGTAGCACGGATACGGTGGCAGCGATGGTATGACGTTGTAGAAAGAGGCAGATAATAAAATGATCCTCAGAGCAAGAGAGAGCACTCTCATAGGACTGGAAGGGATAGTATTGTGGATTAACAGCAGCCTTGGATCAACACTCCCGGAACAGTGAGAGGGCAGTGGAAACCAGCGAGGAGTGTGGATAGGTTTCAAGTAGTTTTGGATAAATAAGTAATAAATTGTGATATTGGAGGGGGTATACGAGGATATAGGTTAGATTAAGAGCCCGGGACAGGAGAGATACCACAACAATTTGGCAGATAATTGGTCAAATGATCGACTTCACTTGTCTCTTTTGACGAGTTGTAGCGTGGTGCTAAGAATGTTATGGTTCATTGACGATGCCGGCGAAACGTCTAGAAATGTACCAATTCCACGATTCGAATCTGGAAATTATAATGCATACTATGGACTCCTGCCAATATGAGCCATTTGTGAAAACAAGGTCAAACAACTTCTAAATGTTATGACCATCCTTGAAATTCACATCTGTCCTGTGATGCAAAGGCATCATGGCAATGTTGCTGAGTGGTTAACGTGTCAAGTTGACATGCTGCCCCATCACGGTTCGACTCCCGCTGGGCGTGCTAATTAGACTTATGAGAGGTCGAGACTGTATTCCACCCTGGATGAGAACACATTTTGGGAAAGCAAGGCTATATGAAATTAAATGGAAACGTCAGCTCTACTCATCTCATTGTGGGAAAATTCAACTACCAGTCCTTCATCACCTTAAAGGAAATAGGTTGAATACATCTCATAATACTGATTTACTGGTAGTCTCAAAACCCTACTTAAATACGCAAAATAACTTCTAAATTTGATGAGTTGCTAGTACATAACATGGCATAGGCTTAGGGGTGCTATCTGTAGACTAATTGATTTCTACGTTATTACAAAAGATGACATTTACTGAAATGAAATTATCAGAGACTTGAGTATTTATGTTGTGTTTTGACGAGATAACATGAGATGTGATGTGGTTAATTTATTTGCTATTTCTGACAAGAAGTTGGATTAGTTTTGACAAGATTTGATGCGATGTGTGGTTATTAGTTTAGATGAGATATGTAATAAGATTTTATGCGATCATCTTTGATGAGCTGAGTCTAGATGAGATGGAATGCTTTGAGCTGAGTTGAATATTGATTTTTTTATGCGATATAATTTTAAATTATATTACTATGATATGAGGTATAAGCTGAGTTTATATGAGATTTTATTTCATAATTTATACAGGTTGAATTTAAATTGTATGGGTTGATTTTCAGAATTATATTTTATTAAGTCAAAATTAAATTTAACTTGATAAGATATAATGAAAAGTTTTTATTTGATATTAGACTTTATAATTTGTTATTTGTTTATATATGATTAAGATTATATGATTTCTTTGTTATAATATTACTTTGATTTCAGAGGCCAAAAATTGCCTTATGGTTACACGATTTGATATGAGCTGAGTTTCGATTACTTTATATGAGTTGCGATCAGATGAGATAAATTTTGATCCGTCGACATGAAATCAAATTAGTTCATTTCAGTTTAGCTGTGATGAGCCCTGTTGATTTTGGCTACTCTAAGTTTGTGGAATTACTAATTATATTGCATTATTTCCTTCTTGATATTCTACGTACTTTTTCCTTTTTATGGAGACCTTCATTTCGTTTAAAAGTGCATGAAGCAGTGATTCGAATGTTGATCTCATCAGAAGAGGATGGATGAATCCCATTGTATTGCTGGCGTTTTGCTTTTAAACGAGGCATCCTCCCTCGTTTTGGGTGAAAACGGGCTGAACTTTTGTCCATCACATGATGGGCATCATCTGAGTCTTACGTTAACACTAGGTCAAGAAGACTATCCGGCTCTATCTCATCTCTTTAGAGACTCAATTAAGCAAATTAAAATTAAAATGCTAAGATAGATACAGAATGGTTTCACTAATAATCTTTTCTATTGGCCCTGCCATTTTTGTTTGAGTGTCTGCGTGTGTATATGCAATACCAGTCCTAAATCAGAGTTACCAAGAAAAGCTAATGTCAGGCTCTGATCAACAAGGCTTAATGACCCGAGAGAACGCCCTGACCGAGACTGCGTAAGTCCGTAAGCAAGTATGAGTGAAGTAATACGATGTGGGCTTGTACGTGTGTAAAGCAATTTAGGAAACCACTTGTTATAACCTCTCAGTCTAAGGTCATTAACGTTTAACCCCTCAAGGAAAGACTGGGGCTACGTAATCTCGTACGTCTGGTTTGGTTTATAAGCTTAATCTAACATGTTGGACGAGTTTAAGGGAAGTTAGAACTATCACTATGCTGAAGAATTTAGTCGTCTTCTTTTGGATGAATGCTCAACACCCTATCTTTCCTTTAATCTATCGATCAAGCATAAGTAGTTCTTACTATACTTTCAAACCGTATGCAGCATCACTATGCTTGGAATTATCAATCTTTCTAATCTTTATTAACTCGCGTCAGGATAAGTTCACTCATAATTTATCTCAAGGTCATGAGGCAATCTTCCTCACTTTTGCAGTTGACTACCTCTACTATTTTCACTTTCTTTCTCTTTATTTAATATTAGGTTGGCTCCAGCTAGATAAAACCTTATTTGATCAGTAAGCTTTCCTCCGTTGCTTTGGAAAGAAAGTGTTAGCATTCGCTAAAAAACTCTAGGCCATACTGTCACGAATGTCCTTGGGTAACAGGACAGAATTAAATTTCAACAAAGCCAGGTATTTTTCCTAAATCACATGCTATGCTGGGATAGGCGATGATGCAAATTTGTATTCGTCCTGGCATTCAGCGTTATTATTTATTTATCGTTTGTAAGTAGCCTTTCGAGACTGCTATTAAATCAAACATATGAGACTGGTGGTCTCGGAAATTATGCACTTTCGTCGATTGATATAGCAAATATAACTTTGCTTTATCAGAAATTCCACGACAGAATATGATTAGACAAAGGCCTGGCCTTCCTTGAAATTCACTGCAGTCAACCCTGGATGAGAAAACCTTTAGGCAAAACAAGGCTATGTGAAATTTAATGGAGGAATCAGCTCTACTCATTTCAATGAACAAAAATTCAACTATCAGGCACTCATTAATTTAAACTAAATAGAATAAACATATTTCATATAATTTATTTGCGGGCAGTCCAGAAAACCTACTTACTAACGAATATTATACAGTATTTTTCGTATGTAAGTAGAGCTTCGAGACATCTTATATTATGCAGTATGTTTGCAACAATTCATCTGCAATGTATTGTTAGCAAGTTTTAAAGTCAAATTAATTTTTTTATAACCTCTTACCAACAAAACCTTTATGTGCCTTCTATTCAACGCGGTATCACTACCCTTCATGGAATAAACCGTTGAGCTGAGCGAGAAGCTACCATTTCTTTTACAAAAATGCGCTGTATCAGGAGGTGCACTTGCGGAGTGAAACTGGCACGGAGAAGGTTAATTTTCATATGGCCAGTTTCACCTTCAAGGTGTCCTCTAAATCATCTTCCCAAAACTCGCGATCTGCTTACCTTGTCGCCCACGCCCGTCTTGGCCCCAAATCCATCCAAGACACCATACGGCAGGCAAGAGAACAAGTCGACCAGAAACCAGCCCTTCAGATAATTTATTCTAATTACAGTCGGGTCCGAAATCACCTCTCCGCCGGGGCCAACAAAGGTGGTGTGAAAGTTGAGCACGATGTCTACGAAGAAAACAGTGTCGACGATATTCTCAAACGCGTTCAAGATCCACCATTCCCAGATTTCATCGTGCTCGAAGGCCACACAGAACGGCACCATCACCGAGGTGTAGAAGGTCATGATAAGGATCAGCCAGTCCCAGGTTGTTTTAAAGACGCTGTAGTGGAGTATAACGTGAGATGGGGTTTGTGGTGCTTCTTGTCTGTACTTTGGCAGATCATCTGGGTGTGGTGGCGAGAACTGCAAACATTTAGGAAAAAATTACCGAGAAGAATGGGCTATTGAAATATTAAGTTTACGAATGGCAGACGTTATGGTAAGTTTAAAGCAACGCTGTAATTGAATTAATGTGATAGCAATCTTCTTTTACTGCATATATTTGGCCCTAGCATGCTTTCGGGATTTTGCCTCGAAAAATTTAGCTCGTATTACTTCCTCTGCCTTTGCTGATTTTTATTTTTTTACCATCTTAATAGTGTCATGCTGAGAGAACATATGAGGGCATAAGCTGAAGACACACCAGGGGGTATGCTTTTCGAGGTCCCTATGACACCAATGCCAAAGTGTGAAAATTCGATCGGATCAATTTACAGCTTAACTTTATGCTGCAATTGAAGACTTTAAAGCCTCAGTTTCCCCAATCATCTGAGACAGCTCCAAACGTAGTTCCGACCATCAGTAAAAAAAGTTTTAATGCGGAAAATCGTGTGAGAAATTCATAATTGAGAAAGATAAATTTGTGGTATGGCTGGTAGAATACAATATCCTAATTTATTCTTAAAACTATTTTTCACTAATAATAAGCTCGCATCCACTGTAAGTGCAAATTCCAAGGTCATACCAACACACACCCGCTCAAACACATATACAGACCTAAGTAACCACATGTTCCTAGATTAACATTTGACATAAGCTAATCAAATCACTCCATGCTCCACAAAATTTGCATATCGAGAATTTATCTTCTAAACGTAGAAATAAATCAAGATAGCTTACGTGACTTGCTTGCAGTAACATTGATATCATACTTTGATGATGTATGCCATTTGATAGACAAAAGCCTAACACATTTTCATCGTAATCGAAAGAGCTGGTCTCAGGAACAACTTCATACAGAATGAACAAGTGAAGCCAATCGACAGCTGACAAAGATGACTTCTCCTTTCTCTCTTCTTTAGACCCTTTATCTCGAAGTGGAAGTCCGATGTTACATATTTTGCAATATAGCTCTTAAGTTCCTTTGAGCAACATCGCAAAATGTTCCAACTCTCTTCGCGTATTTTGTGGTATTACCTAGAAATTTACTAGACCCCTAAAAGTGTTAACCTTTTTATCATTACCCTTCATTCAGCTGTACTAATTACAGCCAGATGGTACCAACTTGTTTTAGTTGGCTTCCAAATAATGGCTGCGGCCTCATACTATTTGCCCTTACTTGTTTTTTGATCAACTACTCTTGCTAGAACATGAATCGGGAATGACTGTATATACGAAATTGTACAGGGCTTTTGTAAAACTGCTGAGATGACATTGCTGCAGGAACTTCATTTTGTATGAAAGTGTCTGACGAAGAGGTTCTTAGATCAATTCAACTAGAAGATAACAATTGATTCGCGTTGATCTGCAGTCAAGTGACTTTACAATGATATTTTTGGTTGGCGCAATCCACTAGACCTCTCACTTTGATTAGGATTAAAAAGGACTTAGCTTTCAGTATGCATACGACAGATATCGTCAGATGAAGATCTAATTCTAGCAAAACCTTTAAACTAACAACAGTTGGTATATTTTATTGCTGTTTTACGTATATTAAACGTTTAGGGATGACAGAACAATCCTGTTGATTTTGTGTAAACTGAATGTTTACATTATGGTCGACATTGACTCTCATATGACGGACGTGAGATCAGCCCGTTTTTATCCATATTGAAAGAAGATGCCTGCGTTAACCGTAAATATCATAAAAAAATCAAACGACTGCAGAGCACCGGAGTCGGCCGATGTCTACTGAGAGTATCGACTTGTGACCCTCTCCATCAGACACCCTCACGCAAAATGAAAGTCTTAGCGACATTGTTATCCAAGACTGCTTTTTATATATTTCTAGTTTCAATGCACCTGTTACTACTTCTTGGTTTCTTAGACCCTGGGTTCAAGTCTTGTTAACGGTCTCTCTTAACAGATTACTCAATAATCTCCTTGACTTCATGATAACCGTTGGCTAATAAATCACCTCATGATGCTCATTTTGGTCTATTTGCCATGCCTCTACAACAAAATCTATTCTCCGCACGTCACTTATGGCCAGAAGCGACTTTCGACATTCCTCGGCGGATTCTCTCCCATGTTATGTACACACTGTTGTTTTTGTGCAAGCTACATGGACTTTAGTCTCTCTTCTTGAGAGATTGTGACACGAAGAAGAGCTCTTAGTCTCATATTCAAAAATTAGTCTAAAGGATGACTTGCCAGAATTTTTAGAATTTTTATATTCTAC